CAGGGGTGTCCGGGCACAGTGGGGTGTCCAGGCACACTGGCATCTGCAGGGGAAGGCGTGGGGGCTGCCAGCCTGCCCAGAGCCCCTGTGCCAGGGATGGAGACTTTCCCGGAGCAGGTGGCACCGCTGATGGCTCTGGTGCATGGTCTGCACCCTCCTCCCCAGCCCGGGCAGCCCCTGGCGGCAGCGTCCCTCTCCGGGAGCCAAGGGCAGGAGCAGTTGCTGGCATCGCTCACAGGATGCACCTTCAGATGCCACCCTGCGTGGTGCCCGGCCGGGGGCAGAGGCTCTGCCCTGGCCCCTGCACCAGCTCCATTGCCTTCCAGGGGGGCTGGTCCTCAGAGGCCCAGGGGCGCCGACAGTCCCAGTGCCGCTGTGGCCCGGGACCCTGTGCCAGGCTGCGTTGGCAGAGGATTTCCCCACGGCAGCCCTGGGTGCTGACTGGACTCTCACCCCAGGTCTCCATGGGATGAAAGCTCAGAAAAGGCTCAGGGTTTTGGTTTTAAGCCTGTGTGGCCCTGGGGGAGGAAGGAGCAAGATTGTTGGGGGCTCGGGAGGCCTGAAGGGGTAGCCAAGGCATGGTGGCTTTGCTGCGCTGCTTCTGTGCCCCACAGAGCCCATGGCCTTTGCAGCATCCCTGCAGAGCCCGACCAGGCGCTCTCTCCAGGTATACCTCTGTGGCAGGGAACAGGCTCTGCCGCACCATCCCAGACATCTCCCGGGCTCCAGAGACCCCCTGCACCCCTCCACTGCCTGTGTCTGCATCCAGGCTCGCCAGCCGCCACCACCAAGTCCTTGCTCAGAGCCCAGTGCCGTTCCCCAAAGCCTCCTCGGCGCATTGGCCATGACCCCTCCAGCATAAGGCCCAGAACAAGTTGTGGGTTGCTTTACTCAGATGTGGCTTCATGTCCAGACCCTGGCTGTGGTGTCTTGCACGGGAGTGGCCTTTTGCACATGCGGGAGCTGTTGCACACACAGAAGCCATTGCACACTCAGGAGCTCTTTCACGCTCAGGAGCCGTTGCATGTGCAGGCAGGCACGGGCATGGCAGGCAGCAGCGGCACAGCCCTGTGCCAGCGAGCGGTGGTGGTGTGGGAATGTCCCCGGTGGGGTCGCTGGCAGAGGCCATCACTGCACAGATCCTCTCCCTGTGCCCTCCTCCCTTACCCATGGGCTCCTGCCCGTCTCCCCGCGCCCCTCATTGTTGTATGGATTGTAGTTCTTTTAAAAGGAAATTTTATTAAACAATCATGTTTGAGACCCATGTGAGTGTGTGGTGTGGGGCCAGCTGCTCACTGCGGAGCCCTCAGCTTGGTGCTCCTCTTGGGAGCAGAGTGGGATGGGGGGACAGGGAGGGAGGATGCTGTGGGTCTCCCATCCCAAAACCTTCACCAGGGAATAGCGAGAGCAGCTGTCTTGTGTACTCCAGCAGCTTGGAGTAGCCTCCAAGCCCTATTCAAGGGTTTTCCCCAACCCAGCAAGAACCGGAGTTTATTTTCTTGCGTCTCAGTATTTGCCAGGAGAGGTTTCCCCAGCGAAGGGCTGGGTGGGAGCTCATGGCTGTGCCTGCCTGCACCCAGCCCTGCAGCACCCACAGCCCACCCGCCCCCATCGCCCCTCGCCCCCGGGGCCGGGGCCAGGCCCTTCACACCTCGGCCAGGCCGGCAGATAAGGGCTATCGTGTCCCCCCATTGTGTGGAGCCTGAGCTGCTCTCCTGGCCCTTTGATCACGCCAGCCCCCCATCAGGCTGATACAATCTCGTCTCCTCCTGGTTTCGGCGGCCTGCAGGGTGGGTGCTGACTCACCGCCAAAGCGCCTGGGCACCATCGGGACGCTTCGCTCAGCCCCACTCATGGGCAGCCCTGGGCTCTCCAGCTGCAGCCCCGGGTGGGCAGCATGACACCCCAAACCACCTGGGACCACCCAAAGGCTCACCCATGGGGAAACTCAGCCTTGCTCCCCTCCCTCTCCGAGGTCCCCAAATTCATCCTTCCTTTGCTCTCAGAGCCCAGCAGTCTCTCAGAGCACCCCCAGGCTTTTTGGGAAGTTCTAGCTTTGAGTAAAACCCGGCTGCTCCTCTCAAGAAGACCCCCTTGCTCTGAGCACCATGGTAGCAGGAGCCCTGCATCCCCTGGGAAGCTGTGTCCCCACACCATGTCTGGGCATGGAATAATCAGGGATCTGTGCTGCAGCTATCCCAGGACAGCCCAGGGCTGGGTGCAGGGCCTGGGCTCAGCCCCAGCCTGTCTGTGCCTCAGTTTCCCCATCTGTAAAACAGTAGAGAATACTGGCTGGGGGGGGCAATACCTCAATTACACCACGGGCTTTGTGCTGCAGAGGCCTTTTAATGAGGGGACAGATCTGGACCAGGACCATCATACAGGGCAATACCTCAATTACACCACGGGCTTTGTGCTGCAGAGGCCTTTTAATGAGGGGACAGATCTGGACCAGGACCATCATACAGGACTTTCATCTCAGCCAGGTTTGGAAGCACCAACCCTCCATCACACCCAGCCAGGCCAGCAGCCAAGCAAACTGCAGTGCCATGGAGGAGCTTTGATGTTCCTCCCAGGGACGGGGTTTTTCAAACAGAACCCACTGCCTAGCCCTCCTCAGATGGACCTTGGGTGAAGACTGTGGCTGGCCCTGACCCACTGCGTGTAAGGCTGCAGCCCACCAAGGTGTGATTGCCTTAGGCATGAAACTCATAGGGATCCAGCACAGCCCTGACAGCTTCTCCATCACCTGCCACATGAGAGAGGGTGAGCTGATGGTGAATAAAACATCACCTGTGGTCATACACTCTCTTAAAATCTTGTCTCCAAGCCAAACCAGCACAGTCAGCCACGGGAGAACAGGCAGATGTACACCTCTAACACCCCAGCTTCTTGGCGTCTCAGTCAGCCAGGGAGGACAGATGCATTTCTTTCCGCTCCCCTTTTCCTTGCAGGGTCCCATCTGTCCCTGGCTGAGTTACAGACCACAGAGCCGGGCCCGAGCCTGGAGCGTGAGCAGGCTCCAGCCATGGGGGTGATGGAGGGGCGCATCCTTCCTCCTCCTGGAGCAGGCAGGAGGCTCTGCCCCAAAGGAGACGGATGGCCAAGCCCCATCCATCGGTGCACAATGACCCCACACAATAACCGGGCACCTCACACAGCCGGCCCAAACTCGCCCCATTGAAATGTATGGGGGGGCACACACCGAGAAACCCCACTGACTCCCTCCACATCCCCCAGCTAAAACCATCACTGCCACAATGGGCCTTGCTCCTACAA